CAGCGCCCACGCCGCTGCCCGCAGCAGAGCACCTCGAGCCCTCCCCAGCAGCCAGCACCCACAGCAGCAGCAGCAGCAGCAACAGCAGCAGCAGCAGCAGCAGCAGCAGCAGCAGCAGCAGCAGACTGGCAGCAGACTGCAGAGGGAAAGTCTTCTTTTTTACCCACGGGCTGCTGGAGTCTTCTCTTAATTGGATCAGCAGCGGGTGGCTCTCTTTGCCTTTTGCTGCTGCAGCAAGAGGGGGAGAAGTTTGGCTTGCAAACTCCAGGGGCAACGAGTACACCCGACACCTGCAGCAGCAGCAGCAGCAGCAGCAGCAGCAGGCAGCGAAGGGAGGCGGCTTCTCCTTGTGGACGCTGCACGCCTTCATTGCTGAGCAGCAGCTGCTCCTGCAGCAAGCCCAGCAGCAGCAGCAGCAGCAGCACGAGCAGAACCAGCAGCAGCAGGAACAGCAGCAGCAACAGCAGCAGCAGGTTGCTGCCGATGAAGAGGTCTGCTCTCTATTCTGCTGCCGCTGCAGCGGCCTCACGCCGCTGCCACAATTGCGGGGAAAGCCCCAAGAGCAGCAGCAGCAGCTGCTGCTGAATGCATGCAGAGAGGCTTCCATCTTGCTGCTGAAGATGCGCTGGAGCAGGCAAGTAGCCACGCAGCAGCAGCAGCAGCAGCAAGAGCAGCAGCAGCACACTGATCCCGCAAGGGGCGCCTCTTTTGCTTCTTTTTGCTTTGCGGATGAAGGGCCCACAGATTCTGCTGCTGCTGCTACTGCTGCAGCTGCGGGTAGCTGCGCACCTGCCACTGCGTGTAACCCCAATTGCTGCTCAGTGGGGGGCGATTTGCTGCAGCTGCTGCGCTGCTGCGAGGGCGCTGACCAGCAGCAGCAGCAGCAGCAGCAGCAGGGGAGCGACGACGGGTTGGGCTCGGATTTTTCTGCTTCTACAAGAGGCAGCGCATGCAACCCCTCTCGCAGCAGCAGCTTGAGAAGCGATGTGCAGCAGCAGCAAGCTGCTGCTGCTGCTGACGATATAGCCGTTGCGCTTGCTGCTGCTGCTGCTGCTGCTGCTGCTGGGGAGCAGCAGGCCGTTGACCCAGCGCAAGGGGCTCAAGGAGCCCCGGGCTGCTGCTTTGGGTTGAACCGCAGCAGCAACAGCTGCGGCAGCAGCAGCAGCAGCAGCAGCAGCAGCTGTCCGCGCATCTGCCGCAGCAGCAGCGACGCGCCGCCCTTTGCCTTCGGAGCAGCAGCAGCAGCAGCTTCTTGGTCCTTCAACGAAATGGCTCTTTATGATTGTCCTGCGCAGCTGCAGTACATCTGCAGCAATTCGCGCGCGCTGCAGCAAATGCGCAGCAAAGCCTTAGAGGCAGCAAAGACACGCAGCAGCAGCAGCAGCAGCAGCAGCAGCAGCAACTGCTGCAACTCCAGATGCGGTTGCCAACGCAGCAGCACCACCAGCAGCAACGACGCGTGCAGCTGCAGCGCCGCCAACCGCAGCAGCAGCAGCAGCAGCAGCAGCAGCAGCGCGTTTGGGGGGGGCATTGTGTGCGTGGGGCAGTCTCAAGGTGCAGCACAGCTGCTGATTAGTTTTTCAATTTGTCCTTCTTTGTGTCTTTTGTGTCCTTGTGGGGTTTTGTTTTCTCCGCCGCTGCTGCTGCAGCCGCTGCAGCAGCTGCCGCGTGCTGCGCTGCTGCTGCTGCAGCTCGGCAGCAAACACCCTGCTGCTGTCTTGGGGGCCCTCAAGCTTGCTGTCAAGCTGCTGCCGGGGGCCCTTTTAGCAGCAGCAGGAGATGCTCTTGTGGGGGCCCGCAGCAGCAGCAGCATGTGCTTCTACAGCTCCCAGCTGCAGCAGCAGCAGCTAATCATCAACTTCACGCACACGCCCTCAGGTAGGAGTTGCTGCTAGTGCTGCTGCTGCTGCTGCGAGCGCTGCTGGTGCGCGTACTGCTGCTGCTAATGTTGCTGTTGCTACTAATGCAGAAGCTGCTGCTCGTGCTGCTGCTGCAAAGCCTGCTGCTGCTCTTTTTGCTGTTCATTTCGTTGCGTGCTGCTGTTTCTTCTACAAGAGCTGCTGCTACTAAATTTGCTCCTGCTGCTGCTGCTGCTGCTGCAGGGGGCACCTCGCGCCAGAATTTCGCACACTGGCTGCAGCAGCTGCGCAGCACAAAACCCTTGTCAACTTTGACTTCTGCTGCTGCTGAGCCTCCCAGCGGTGCAGCAGCAGCAACTGCAGCAGCAGCAGCAGCAGCAGCAGCAGCAGCAGGACTGCCAGAGCTGATATTGCCGCGAGGCCGATACCCCATAGAAAGAATCCGCAGCAAACTTTTTGTATTCCTTGGAACAGATGACAATCTCGTGATGCCGGGTTAGCTGCTGCTGCTTCTGTTGCTGCTGCTGCTGCTGTTGCTGCTGCTGCTGTCGCTGCTGGTGTTCCTTTTGCTGCTGTTGCTGCTGGGCACGCTCGCGTTTACCAGTAAAGTTTAAACCCTAAACCCTCGTGGTTTGTGTTGCTTCTGGATGTTCGCTTTGGGAAGTTTTGCTTCCCTTTTGCTGCAGCAGCAGCAGCAACAGTAGCAGCAGCAGCAGCAGCTGGAGCTCCCGTGTTTGTTTGTGTTGCAGAAGCAAGCGCTGCTTACCTCCAGCGCTGCCTGCCGCAGCAGCAGCTGCAGCTGCTGCTGCTGCAGGGCCTGGGGCATTTAGACTGTGGCTGGGGGGGCCCTCGTGTCTTTGACATGAACGCTTTGCTGCAGCAAATCACCAGCTGCAGCAGCTGCAGCAGCAGCAGCAGCAGCAGCAGCAGCAGCTCGGCCCCTGATTTTGGCTGACCTTTTTATGAATTTAAATAAACGGATAAACATTTTATGGATGACTAAATAACACGTTCATTATGCTTGCTTCTTGCTGCTGCTGCTGCTGCTGCTCTAGGCTTCAGCTGTTTGCTGCTGTTGCTGCTGCTGCGGCTTTAGGGCCTCTGCTGCAGCAGCAAACTGCTGCTGTTCAAGATGAAAGGGGAGAAGACTGGCAAACGTATGCGAGTATAAAACTGAATAAATAAATTGAATTAATTCTAAAAGTAATTTTAATGAATAATTGAATTAAACAAATAAAATTCACAGGTCCATAAAAGTCGAGCTGCAGCAGCAGCAGCTACAGCAGCAGCAGCAGCAGGTACAGCAGCACGCTGTGTTTGTCTGGAGTTGAAGAGTCCAGATAGAATACAAACAAATTTAAATTTATAAATGGAAATTAATAAATGCAAATTAGTAATTACAAATTAAAAATTGTAAATAAATTAAACTTGATTTTGCTGCTCTCTTTTTGCCGCTTCCAGCGACTACACAAGAGACGCCAAAATCTCCAATTCTAGGGTTTAGGGTTTAGCGTTTGGGGTTTAGGGTTTAGGGTTTGGGGTTTAGGGTTTGGGGTTTAGGGTTTGGGGGGAGCGAGTGTGCAATTGGAGATGCGAAGAACCCCAGAAGAGCAACTGGGAAGTTTATTTTGGCATTTAAATGGGATTTAATTGTTCAATTTGCACTTAAAATTGATTCATTTAATTAAATTAATTAATTAAATTAATTAATTTGATTTTAAATTTCATTTTTTGCTCTTTCTGAACATAAAAAGACCCGAAATTGCGCCTTCACCTTCAGGTGTACAGACACCTCAGCTGCGCAGACGCCCGAACGGCTCTCCGATTCTCCTTTTTAAATTTTGTTTTATTGTTTATTTATTTATTTATTATTTATTTATTTATTTACTTATTTATTTATTTTTAAAATGAACTTAAGGCTCCTCTGGGGGCCGCGGCCCTCTGAATGGCGGCGGCGGGGGAATGAAGTCGGGGGGCCCCTCATCGTCATCTGCTGCTGCTGCTGCAGCCTGCTGCTGCTGCTGCTGCTCTTCCTCTTGCTGCTGCTGCTGCTGCTCTCCATCCTGCAGCTGCATCTGCTGCAGCACCTGCTCGAGCCCCACCCTCCTGGGAGGTGTAGGTGCTGTCCTGGGTGTGGCTGCTGCGCCCTCGCCTTCTGCTGCTGCAGCAGCAGCAGCAGCAGCAGCAGCAGCAGAGTCCGGCGAGTGACTCATAGTAGCCTTCAGAAGGGTCCGGGGTTTTGGAGTTGGTCTCCACCCGGGGGCCCCCTGGAGTATTCTCCTGGGGCCGAACCTGCGGGGTTTTGGCTGCGGCGGCGCCAGCAGCTCCTGCTGCTGCTGCTCCTGCTGCTGCTGCTGCTGCTCCTGCTGCTGCTGCTGCTGCCCGCTGGTGTGCCCCGCCCTGGGCGTAAACGACCCGAAGATCGGCTCTTCGTCCCCCTCCTCCTGCTGCTGCTGCCCCACAGCCCCCGATCCCGATCCCGATTCCGAGACAAGAGTTGAAACTTCGTCTGCCCACTGTGTCAGTTCTACAATGTCTCTCGTTTTGGGGGTTTGCAGCTTCCGCCGCAGCGCAGAAGGGAGCCTTCGTTTGGGTTTGCTGCTTCTCCTCCTGCTGCTGCTCCTTCTGCTGCTGCTCCTGCTGCTGCTGCGGCTGCTGCTCGGCGCCGAGTGCGACGCTGCAGAACCTATCTCCGCGTACAAGTGCTCATCATCTTCAGCTGGTGCTGCTGCTGCTGCTGCTGCTGCTGCTGCGCTGCTGGGCCCCGGGGGAAGGGGGGGCAGGGGCATAGTGGGCGCACGGGGCGCCTCGGGGCCCCCCGCTTCTGCTGCTGCTGCTGCTGCTGCTGTTCCTGCTGCTTGCTGCTGCAGCCATCTTCTACTTTCTGCGTCTCTTTGTACTCTGCCAATCTTCACTGAAGGAACTCTTCGGGGAGTCCGCCGGGGCCGCCTGCTGCTGCTGCTGCCGAGGACATCTCCCAAGGTGACATTCCTTCTGCCGACTGCAGCAGGAGCTGAGGCAGACCCTGCTGCTGCTGCTGCTGCTGCTGCTGCTGCTGGGTCTCGCTCGCCCACTGGGTCTTCTTCCCAGCTAGAGTCCCCCGACTCTCCTCTGGGCCGCCAGAGATCGGCTTCGGCCATTTGTAAGTAGGGGAGATCCTCTGGCAGCAGCGGCATGGATTGCTGCTGCTGCTGCTGCTGCTTCTTCTTTGGCTTCTTGTTCTTTTTGTGGCCCAGCCGGGACCTCTGCACGAAGCTGCTGGCAGCAAAGCTGCTGCTGGGACTCAGCGCAGAGTCCAGCTTTGCTGCTCGCAGCAGCAAAGCTGCAGCAGGGGAAAAAAGAAAAAAACTAAAAAGCAAAAATAAAGAAAGAGCTGCCAAGAAGGCAGCTTTTTTTAGGTGTACAGACATCTCGGCCTGCAGCACGCTGCAGCGGAGCAGCCGCTGAAAGTCAAGAAAGAAACCCAGAAACTATTCAATTAGGAACTACTTAAACCCAAATCCAAAGAAGAATTAAGGACAAGCAGCAGCAGCAGCAGCTGCTGCAGCAGCAGCAGCAGCGAGCCGGTCCTCTCGCTGCTGCTGCGGACACCAGCAGCTGCGCCCGCAGCAGCCCTGCGATCGATCTGCACGGATAGATCTTAAAAGGGGCCCTTTAAATGCAAAAATAAAAGAAATGCTTTTAAATAAATTAAAATTTTAATTAATTTGAATTGGATCGAGGCATTTCAGCGTAGAATACAGCAGCAGCAGCAGCAGCAGCAGCAGCAGCGCCGACAGCACCACCGGTCTTCGCGCAATCGGTCCGGCGAGGACTTGGTCGCGCGGCTGAGCAGATTTCTCCGGCGAATGAATTAAATAAACTTTAAAAGAATTAAATTTATTAAATTGAATTAAAAGATCAAATTTAAATTCAATTTCAAACACTTTCCCCCGCGGAATCTTCGCTGCAGCGCCCCGCGCCAGATCCGGTGACGCAGGGCTGCCTCGAGATCGCCGCGTCGTCAGCGCCCTTTTGGGGTAATTTTTACTTCTTTTTGCGTCTTCTTTTTATATTTAAATATTAAAATCAAAAGTAAATGTAATTACAAAAAAATAAATGCAAAATAGCCGCGATTTGTCCAGGATCGGCGGCGCTGGCCGCGCGCCACGGCCCCGCGGCTCTCCGGCCGCGGCCTCTGCAGGATCGCGAGCCCAGGGCTTTCTTCTTTTGCGACTTTTTTCACTTTTTTTCTTTCAAAAGTTTCACAAAATATAAAACAAATATAAAATAAACTCTTTTATTGAATTTCTGGCGTTTTTAGCTCCCCGGCTGTTGGGTGGCGGCCGGACTTGCGGCTGGAGAGCGCCTGTTGCTGCAGGATCTTTTGCTGCTTCCTCGGCGTGTTCTCCGCGTTTTTTCGCGGAATCTATTTTTAAACAATCCAAATATTTGAATTGTTTGAAATAATTATCTTTTAAACGCAAAAGAAAGTCCATTTCTTGAGGCAGAAGTGGTTTTCTCCGTTTCCCGGGAGTGCGCGTTTCCGCCGCTGCCGCGCGCGCAGCTGTCTGTACACCCGAAATGAAGCTCCGACAAACCCTCGCAGCCCTCGGGGCTCTTCATTTCTTTTCTTCTTCCATTTATTCTTTTGGTTTGTTGCTGAGGCCTTCGGAGTCAGGGGACATGGAGGCGTTGCTGCCCGCTGCCTCCGCCGCGGACGCGGGCGCGGCTGCTGCTGCTGCTGCGCCCGCTGCTGCTGCTGCCGCTGCTGCTGATTCCGACCCAGCTTTTCTGCAGAAACAAAGTAAAAGAAAAAGAGGAAAAGGAAAAGGCGGGAAAGGCGGCCAGAAAGACGGCGCCTCCAGCTTCTTACAGGCGCAGGCTCTGCAGCCAAACTAGGGTTTGCGGTTTGGCCTTCAGGGTCTAGGGTTTAGGGTTTAGGGTTTAGGGTTTGGGGTTTGTTCTCGCGGGATGCCGCACAGGCTCAACTCAGCTGCTACGGGCTCCTCCAAGTGCAGCAGCCCCAACAGTTCTGTAGCAGCAGCAGCTGACCGCCGCAAGTGCCCATTTCGGGGGTTAGGGTTTAGGGTTTAGGGTTTAGGGTTGCGAACTTGGGTGGCTGGCCGCCCCGGCAAGACGCTTGGGCCTTCCGCTTTATTATTTTTCCATTTTGGAACTTTCATTTAATCGCACCTACAGAGAGTCGCAACTAGGGGTAATAAATGCTGCTGCTGCTGCAACAGCAGCAGCAACAGCAGAAACAGCAGCAGCACCAGCAAGAGCAGCAGCAGCAGCGAGAGCAAGGCGTTGCTGCAGCGGAGGCTGCGCCAGTATCGAAGTCCTCGAAATACTTTCAGAACACCAGCAGCAATTTGTTTTAATTCTTAGCTTTTTAAAACTAATATTATTGAATTTAAAAGTATTTAAATTTGCATTTTAATTTAAAATGATGAAGAGGCAACTGCATCGGCTTTCCCGTGAACCGTCCAGCTGTACAGACAGCTCGGCCATAGCCGATGAGCGCCAGCTCGAAAAGAGCATTAAAATTGCTTTGAAAGTAAAAATAAATTTGTAAATAATAAATTAAAATTAAAATTAAATAAATATAATTCAAAATAATTCAATTTGGCGTTTAAAATTCAAATTTCTGCACTTCAGAATCCCAGGTGACCGTCGGCGGCGCCCGGCGTCGGCGGCGCCAGCAGCCGCTGCAGAGGCTCCATTTTGGCTCCTCTGTTTAATTTATTTGTGAAATTAAATAAAATTTATAATTTGAAAAAGAATTAAATGCATTTAAACGATTTAAATCCTCAAATGCGAGAAAGATGCACTTGGACACAGCGCAGCACGCGCAGGACCGCTGCCTGGCGGGCGGCTAGCAGCTGCTGCTGCTGCTGCTGCTGCTGCTGCTGCTACATCTTCCCGCGGCCCAGTTTTGTCTGAAGCTTCCAATTCACATTTTTGTTTATAAATTTAATTAAATTTAAACTTTATTTCGGGACTTTTGTCTGTTTCGCGCTGCTGCTTTGCTGTTGCCCCTCGAGACCACTGGTCCCCTTCGATTCAAAACCACCAAAATGAGCAGCAGCAGCAGCAGCTGGGCGACGCCCACGCTGCGAACAGCAGCAGCAGCAGCAGCAGCAGCAGCACTTCTGTCGGCTCCTATTGGAGGCCTCTGCTTCCGAGTTTCCCCGAATTTGCTGGCAGCTGAGGGGCAGCTCGAGGGGGCCCCCCTGGGGCCCCCTGCTGCTGCATTTGCTGCTGCAGGGCCCCTCCCTGAGGGCCCTGAGAGCTTCTCGGAGCTCTCTGCTGCTGCTGACGAAGCAGCAGCAGCAGCAGCAGCAGCAGAAGACGCCGCGGAGGACGCGGACGCTGCACTGTACGACGGCTTCGACGACTCTTTGAGCAGCAGCAGCAGCAGCAGCAGCGCAGCAGCAGCAGCAGCAGCAGAAGACCCCAGCATGCTGGAATTTGCCCGCGCACGGGACTGGTGGAATCGCCGCAAACAGGCCAGGCAGCAGAAAGCTTTAGATAGAAAAGAAAGAAGATTACAAAAGAAAATTCAAAGAAGACAAAGAAGAAGTAAATCTGATTCGGACTCCGAGTCACCATTTGAAGTTCCAATTTATGCTGCAGAAGACCAGCTGCCTCTGACTGAGGAGGAAGAGAGTCTTTGGAAAGATGAGTCCGCGATGAAATAAAGACTTCTCGTCTTTTTGATTCTTCAATTATTTAATTCTTCTTTTCTTGCATTAAATGGTCCAACGGACCTTTAATCCTCCACTTTCTCCGCTTTTGTTTGACCATTGAATCATTTAATTCTTCTTTAGTTCTCTCGCCGCGCGTTTCTGCATGCATGCGTTCAGGTGTACGTACACCTCGCGGTGTACGTACACCGCAGGATGAGCGCAGCTCGACGCTCCAAAGCTCATTATATATCATTCGAATGCTCATTTAAAGACAAATTTAAATATTTATTTATTATATTTATTTGCTATTCTAATTCAATTATCTTCAAATTCAAGAAGGCGCAATTCGTCTTTGCGCCCGGCCCCCAAAGCCGGTTTTTTCGGCTCTTGGCAGTAGCTGAGAAACTTTGAATTAGCTGAGAACTTTAAATTATTTATTTCCTCATTATTTATTATTTCTTTATTATTTATTGTTTATTTACTATTTATTATTTCTTTATTATTCCCTCTTTATTATTTATTTATTTATTCTTCTATCTCCTTTTCAGTTGCCTAGCCGTAGGAGTGTCTTTCAAAAGAAATGCTTTTTCGTGTATTTGTGCATTAGACAAAAAATATATTCAAATAGGTTTAAATAGATGCATTTTAAAAGAAAATAAAAAGAATATTTAAACTAATTCAAACAAATATATTTTAAAGACAAATGAATTAAATGAATTAAATGGCACTTTTCAACTTTTGAAAAAAAGCTTTCGGCCACTGCAGACCTCCGGGCTGTCTGTACACCTCAACAAGAGAACAAATGCACAAAAGGCAAAAAGAAATTAAAATTTTATTTTTAAAATAAGAACAAACTCCTTTTTCTGTTTGCATGCGCTTCTGCAGAAGCCCCTGCAAAAGCCGTATAGACACCACAAATTCAAATTGAGTTTAATTCCATTCAAAATTAATTTGAAAATGTAAAAGCGTTTATGATAGTATAAGTATAAATATAAATAAATTAGTGAGTAGATCTCCCTATATATTGCCTAAAGGCAAAAATCCCAAAATGTAACTTGGGAATATTTGCGTAGAGTTGCATGCAAAAAGGACTTTTGAAATAAAATTCAATAAAGAGAAATAAAAGCAAATAGAAGTAAATAAAATAAAAAACAAAAAAGCCCTTAGTCGGATTTCTTTTTAAAGATCTTTTCCACTTTTGAATTTGCGCTCTTTTCCCAAGTGTATTTTGACATCATTTGGATCTGCGCACTTCAAAATAAGAAAATAAACTCTAAAAAAGTGCTTTTATCTTTTTTTAAACTCTAAAAATATAAAAATAAACTCTAAAAAGGTGTTTTAATATTTTAAGCTGTTCATTTGGCCTTAAAGAAGGAAAAGGAACTTCTGGGCAAGGCGCGAAAATGCGATTTTTCGAGTGTACGTACACCGGAACGTGCATGCATGCATGCGCCAAAGGCGTTTTTCAAATTTCGACAAATTAAAATGACTTTTCCATTTGGGAGTTAATTTGCCCTTTATAAACTTCACTTTTATTAAAATAAACTCTATTTCTTTTTGTTTTCATTTTATTTTCATTTTTAATTCCGAAAAGAAAGAAATTAAAATAAATGCGTTTCTCCTGAATGAGCCAGGTGTACATATACTCCAAACGGACTGGCGGCTATTCGCTGTCGACAGAATCAGCCACTGTATGCAGGGTTTAGGGTTTAGGGTTTGGGGTTTCGTGTTTAAGGTTTAGGGTTTAGGCTTTAGGGTTAAGACTTCATGGTCTAGGGTTTAGGGTTTAGGGTTTAGGGTTTACGAGTGGTAGGCTGAGGCTACGGCTAACGTTTATGCCTCTTCCAGGGGGAAGTGCCAGCAGCCTTCTACGGTGCAGCCCCCAGGCATCACTCATTTAGGGTTTAGGGTTTAGGGTTTAGGTTTTAGGGTTTAGGGTTTAGGGTTTGAGGCGGCAGAGGTGTTGCTCGAGGCAGTTCAGTGTCTTAGAGTCTCGGCTGCTGCTGCTGCTCACTGACATGAGCAGCAGCAGCAGCAGCAGCAAAAAGCAGCAAATTGCGGGAGAGAAAGAAATGGAAATGAACTGAAGCCGCAGCAGCAGCAGCAGCAGCAGCAGCAGCACCAGCTGTCTGTACACCTCAAACGACCTAGTGGCAGCAGCAGCCCCCTGAAGCCCCGAGCTCCCAAAACACTTTTTTGAATTCTTTTCTTTATTCTCAATGAATTAAAAGGATCAATTACTTTAAGTTTTCTGGATTTGCGCGAAAGAAGCTTCTTTGGCAGCTGCTGCTTGCGCAACACCAGCAGCAGCAACAGCAGCAGCAGCAGCAGCAGCAGCAGCAGCACTCTGCGAGCCGCCAGAAGGACTGCAAAGGGTCTTCCATCTCCTTACTGACTTATAGGAGCGACGTTTTTGTAGAAGATCAGCAGAAGAAAAGCCTTTTGCTGCAGCAGCAGCAGCAGCAGCAGCTGCTGCAGCAGCTCACTTCTGCAGCTCCGGGGTGTATAGACAGCTCGCGCTCCACGCCCTCAAAAACGACTCCAAACTGCTGCAGCCCTTCGCCACTTTTGTTGCTTTGCTGCTGCTGGAGCAGCAGCAGCAGCAGCAGACTCAACTGTGCTGCAGCACTCGAAGCAGCTGCTGCTGCTTCTGCAATGGTGGGGCCCCTAGCCGCAGCCCGTGACCTTTGCTGAGGCAGTCACCTCTTCCTGCTGCTGTTGCTGCTGCTGCTGCAGCGGCTGCTGCTGCTGCTGCTGCTGCAGTCGGGCGCCTCAGCTGCTGCTGCATGCGATGGTCTGGCTACAACGGCACCCACAGCAATGGCTGCGCGCTCCCCCGTCTTGCTGCTGCTGCAGCAGGTGCTGCTGCTGCTGCTGCTGCAGCAGGGTCTCGCGGAAGCTGCTGTGACCTCTCCGCAGCGGCGGATTGCATCAGAAGCAAACGACAGCGCAGCAGCAGCTGCTGCAGCAGACGCAGCAACAGCAGCAGGAAGAG